CGTCCAGCAGCAGAAGAGCAGGGAGGAGCTGCTGAAGACACCAGGCTGCCTCAGCAAGCTCTGCTTTCCCACGCTGTGCCCGCATGCAGAGGGTAAACAGCTGATAAGGAGCTATGCGCTGCAAAGTCCCCTCCACCAACGGCCACAACCACGAGCCTCAGCCCCAAGGCCAATTCCCAGCACCTGGATACCCGCCTCCCCGGGGCCAGCCTTGCTGCTGGCAGTCCACATCCCAGGAGGCTGGATCCAAAGGGGATCTGACGCTGGACAACAGCTGCAAGGAGCCCTGAGCCCAGGAGTTCCTGCCTCATCTCACCGGTACAAGGCACAAGGATACAACAGACCCATGCAGGATATCCCCGGGTAGCAGAATCTCAGCTCCTCCTTCAGCTGTTTGTCACTGTAAAGCATGCGAAGCCCAAGCGTGCCAGCAGCATTCTTTAAACTAAAAAGACAGCTAATGTCCTGGTTTAGAGCTCCAGAGTGAGAACCTCACAGCCCATTTCAATAACTGAGATAAATGTCCTATTTAACGGCTGCATTAACAGGCAGGAACACTGCTCCTTGGGAAGGGCGGCAGAGTGACAAGCCTGCCTTCTCCAGAATTTAACCTCTCAATTAAAGATGAAGTCACCTAAATGGGGAGAAGAACAAACACCCCATTTCTTCTAACCAGAAACCAAGCACAAACTCTGGCCCTCAGACTCCAGCCCCGCTGCTTCCCACCCCGCTCAGAGCTTTGCCGTGCAGAGCTGAGCGATGCTTCCCAGAGCCCTGTGGACACGGCACGAGCTGTGTCTGCTCTCTGCTGCCGTGGGATCCGCTCCCTTTAACCTTACAGGCTTCCTCTCCCATCTCTAAAGGGCTGAGCCTGGGAAGTGCCTGGGAACTCTCACCCCTCAGATAAAAGCTGAGCCCTCGGGGCACGGCAGCACCTTCACTGGGCTGAGGGATCAAGCCCATAGCCGAATATTCCGCTGCTTCCCTGCTCCTCAGGCAATGCACATCCCTACTGCTGCCCTCCGGAACAGCGCAGGGACACACCAGGGCACTGCAATCCCTACTGCTGCCCCCGGAACAGGGCAGGGACACACCAGGGCACTGCAATCCCTACTGCTGCCCTACTGCTGCCCCCGGAACAGTGCAGGGACTCACCAGGGCACTGCAATCCCTACTGCTGCCCTACTGCTGCCCTCCGGAACAGCGCAGGGACACACCAGGGCGCAGCAGCAGGAGGCTTGCTTGCCTTTTTAACGTGGTCCTGACACTGATCGCCCGTTTACCTAAAGGCTTCCAATTTATAGACGTATATTGAGATCCCCCCCCAAAATAAAGACTTCTAAACAGGGAGCTGGCATTTACAGCTTGCTTTGTTCAGCTGAGGGGCTGGGCAGGTTTTTATACACTGCACGAGTTTGCCAGCCTGCTAGGAAAGAAAGAAAAGGAGGATCAAGGAGGATCACACTACACAAACCCAGGACCTATATGGGAAAGTGCAAAGCTCTAATACAAGCCCAGGACCAATATGGGAAAGTGCAAAGCTCTAATACAAACCCAGGATCTATATGGGAAAGTGCAAATCTCTAATACAAACCCAGGATCTATATGGGAAAGTGCAAAGCTCTAATACAAACCCAGGATCTATATGGGAAAGTGCAAAGCTCTAATACAAACCCAGGATCTATATGGGAAAGTGCAAAGCTCTAATACAAACCCAGGATCTATATGGGAAAGCGCAAAGCTCTAATACAAACCCAGGATCTATATGGGAAAGCGCAAAGCTCTAATACAAACCCAGGATCTATATGGGAAAGTGCAAAGCTCTAATACAAACCCAGGATCTATATGGGAAAGCGCAAAGCTCTAATACAAACCCAGGATCTATATGGGAAAGTGCAAAGCTCTAATACAAACCCAGGATCTGTATGGGAAAGTGCAAAGCTCCCAAGAGGTGGAATGAGACCTCGGGGGCAGCACCTGGAACCACTTTTCCCCTTCTTCTCGTACTTTTAAATTGCCCAGGTTTCATTTACACACAACAGACCCTTCCAAGAGGAACTCTACCAGCTTGGAGCTGGTAGAGGTTTCATTACACAAGGTTTCATTTACACACAACAGACCCTTCCAAGAGGAACTCTACCAGCTCCAAGCACTCCAACCACGGCTCTATACGGGGCTATTACAGCCAAGGAGGGTTTAATCATGGTAAAGTACCGGGAAGCAGGAAGCTGCTGTGGGGCTGGCATCCCCGCCCTCCGTGGTCCATTCCTCACCATCGCCTCTGATGGTTTCCTTGGAAACATATGTAAGCTTAAATTGGACTGACATTCACCGAGTGGACAGATGGAGTTTGGAACAGCCCCGTGCCTCAAATCCAAGGCCGAGTCTTGGGAGGCATCACTTAGCAATGCAAACCCCACCCTCCCCGAGGTCCCCAAACTTTGGGGAAAGGTTAAGGATCGCCTCATTATTTAGCAATGAGCTTTGAGGTGGCATCGCAGGCAAGGTCAGCGATGAGCCATTGTGTTGGAGTGAAAGCATCGGGCCCAGCACGCGACAGCAGTTTTGTCTGGAGGGAAGGACCGCATCTTTGTTAAGAAAACAGAGGAGTTCTTAAGCTCATCAGCGGTTTCAGGCAGGAGGAATGATGGAAATCACACACTCTGAGTGCAGGCAAGTGCCTTCTGCAGGTAGCAATGCCCGGTCTGCCCTGTAATCACGCTCTCCACATCACAGACTTCAGCACCAGCCTGAAGTTATTCCGAAGGATGGATGCTGACCCACAGCTCCTTCTTCCCAGCACGGAGAGGGGAAGGTTTTAATCACACCTCCAGAGCCCCAGAGGTGTCAGGACTGTGATTTCAGCCAAGCTGGTAATTTATGCTGAAGTGGGAATTACTCCCTGGCTCTTCTTCCGCTGCATGGGAAGAAAGGGAAACGGCAAGAAAGGAAAATGGCTTTGTACGGAAGGCTTTCCCAATCACACTGCTCTAATGGGATTTGAAAGGAGTCGCCTCTTTCCAACCAGGACGCAGCAGAAAACCCAAATCACTGCGTCCCTAGAGATCATTCATGGAATCCAGCACGTAAGAAAGGGAGAGCCGAGATGATGGAGCTCTCAGGAGGGAAAGGGGGGACAGACAGCGCTTCCGCACTCTGCCTCACCAGGCACTACCCAGGACACGCTGGGGTTTTTATGTACCACTTCCAGGTAATTAGGGGAGTGCAGGAGTTGGGGTTATAAAGTGACTGTCTATGGCACAAAGCCCCAGAACGCCTGGGTCACTTCCCTGGCTTGTGAGATTTGCTGCAACCCAAGGAATGCCCAGGTTAGGAATCACCTGTCCGAGCTGCCAGGTTTTCCCTACCTGTCCCATCACCTGCAGCTCAGCCAGGGTTTTCAGGAGGAATCCTTCTCTCTCTACATGATTACAGCTGCCACAGCCTCCTCCTTCGCTGCCCTGCTCACCCTGGGCAGTTCTGCTGCATCTCCTTACTCTGAACCACCTCCAACCTGGCTTCCTTGAACCGACTTTGCCCAAACTAAACAAAGAACCCAAACCAAACCCGCCTCTTGCATCTGGCTTGTAGTTGCTGCGTTTGAAATGAAACCAAGCCCAAACCTCCTGCTGCCCGCTCATTTCCTTCCCAAGCCTCTGCTCTCCTCCTCCTCCGCCTCCCGAATCTCCCCTGTTTATCACGATGTGATTGCTGCTGCTCAGCCCTCACCGCCTGCATTCCCCCGCTGCCTCTCCATCCTTCCTCCCACGGAGGGGGAAGCCTCGATGCCCCTCTCCATCCTTCCGATGGGATTCACAGCGCTAAACCCGCAAGGCCACCCCCTCCTCCCGACCTCCATCCACAGCCTCCGGACTTGAAGGAACTTCCCCGGCCCGGGCAGCATCCGCCTGGGCTCCGGCAAGGGGCGGCTGCCGCAGCCGCCCGCCCGCACCAGCGCCTCGTCCCTCCCCGCCTGCCAAAGGCAACTCGACCCCGCTCCCCCCCTTCCTCTCCCCGCTGCCTGTTTAAGCCTTCAGCCCAGGTCCTCTGCGCTCCGAGCCCCACTGAAGACAAGCGGCAGAGGACACCGCGGTGCTGCGGGGAGGCAGGCTAAAGCTCGCTGTTCCAGTGCTTTACACAGGCCACGGCCAGGAACAATAGAGCCATGCACCGTGTACGTAGGAAGCAGCGATGCCCGTGGATCGCGATGCTTCCCCCTGCACCGGGGTTTTAGTTAAAGGATGGTAATTCAGATGCTAGGGAGAAAAAAAAAAAAGAAAAAGCCTAAGCTGCCAGCAAAGCGGTTTTATTCAAATCGATGCTAGAAAATGCCTCCTTTTTATTTCTAAGAGCATCGTAAATAAGTTGAAATATTGATAGAGATGCAGTCGCTAAAAGCCAGGAGCTTCTATTTAAATACAAATAACCAAGCCTGCTGAGCTGGGCAAGCTGCGTGGTTTCAAAACATGAGAAAGCCCTTCAGAAACCTGCCTTGAAGAACAATGGGTGCCACAAGCACTCCTGGGATGTGGCTTACAAAGGGAGGGGAGGGGGGGAGATATAAAAATCATCGTGTTTAGTCACACCTTTGTTTGAGAGAACCGGGACACGAGGAGCACAGCAGCTGACAGCCCTAAGCTGAAGGAAGCATCATCTTAGTCCTGACCACGACACGTTTAACACCATGCCCGAACCACTCTGCTCAGGCACCCAGGAGCCCGCCTGCTCCCCGGGCAGCTTCTGGAAGCGCTTTCATCCCTAACACACAGCTGAGCAGCAGGTTACAGCCACAACACGGGCATCCCAAAGCCTCCCCGCACCAGGCTGGTCTCCAGCACTGGTGTGAGACTCAATGGGCCAGTGATGAGCTGAGCTGAGCTGCCACCAGCCTTCTCCATCCTCGTGCACGTGTTGCAGTAACACCCCTCAAACCCCTGGACTGCCCGGCTCTAAATGCACTGGGACACTGAAACAGCAAAGGAAGGAGCCTTACAAAAGGCATGATTGAAGGCAGCCCCCAGCAAGAACTCAACCGAGCATCTTCACTGAAGATGCACCTACAGCCCAGGTCAGAAGGAAAGGTGATAAAAGCAGCATTCCCAGCCCTGCCACGTGTGAAAAGCGAGCACGTAAAGCCCTGAGCACGCTGTGCTCTCCGGGAGCTGACACACATTCCTTCCCCAGCTTAATAGGTGTTTATTTGCTAGACTCCACTGCTACCGGCACAGCTCAGGCACCAAGTGGGAGCGCTCCGTGCCACGGGGCTTACGGAGTGTTAAACCGCCCTTCCCAAGGTTTTTAGCTGGCTGAGGAAAGACTGGTTCGGTGGCACATCACCAGAGGACGTTTAACAGCTGCGTCAGTAGCGAGCAGGGTCACACCTGGAGGAACTGAGGCAAGAATGAGAAGTGTCCCTCAGCTTAGCTTTGACTCACGTCGAGTTAATGACCACACACCCTGGCCCGAAGACTCCATGAAATTCAATGTATATCAGTGATAAGGAACCTGAGCAGCAGCAGGTCGAGGGTTAGGGTTAGACCCCCCCCCCCCCCGCAGTCCTGACCCAGCTCTGGGGCAACAGCACAAGAGGGACTTGGAGCTGATGGAGCGAGGCCAGAGGAGGCCATGGAGATGCTGCGAGGGCTGGAGCAGCTCTGCTCTGGAGCCAGGCTGAGAGAGCTGGGCTGGGGCAGCCTGGACAAGAGAAGGCTCCTGAAGGGGAGACCTGAGAGCAGCTCCAGTGCCTGAAGGGGCTGCAGGAAACCCGGAGAGGGGCTTGGGACAAGGGATGTAGGGACAGGCCAAGGGGAATGGTTTTAACCTGCCCGAGGGGAGACTGAGCTGAGCTCTGAGGCAGAAGCTCTTCCCTGGGAGGGTGCTGAGGCGCTGGCACAGGGTGCCCAGAGAAGCTGTGGCTGCCCCATCCCTGGCAGTGTTCAAGGCCAGGTTGGACACAGGGGCTTGAAGCAAGCTGCTCCAGTGGAAGGGGTCCCTGCCCGTGGCAGGGGTTGGAGCTGGAGGAGCTTTAAGGTCCCTTCCCAGATGAACTAGTCTGGGACTGTGTGATTAGGGGAATGTGAGAAATTCCTTCTCCAGACAAGTTATCTTCATTTTCAGCTGCCCATGGCCAGCAGCAGAGCCCAGCACTGCCGAACCCACCTGAGGGGCTTCCAGCACAATTTAACTGGAAATATTCTTTGTAAATGATATTACTGGAATATTGACAGCTCAGAGCCTTGTACGACAGGTTCCGGCTGCTCTCTTCACCCAGCTGGCTGCACTTCACATCGCACCAGCTCTCCATGCTCGCTCTATTTCATGTGGGTTTTCACCCCCATTGCCGACACGAAATAACACGTAACAGATGAATTAAATTCCTATGGCACAAATACTGACAGGGGACAGCGAATGGGCAAAATGATGACTTTTAAATCACATTTAGACTTATTCTCCTTAATGACATCCTTTGGTTTGGCTTTTCAAGGTAACATCAGTCCCTCCTTTCTCTTTACAGCAAGATAAAGATTTCCACTGTGCTGTCCTTCTGTAAGAAGATGTTTTATACTCTCAGGTGAAACATCACTGCGACTCCACTTTAGTCTATGTTTCTATAATAAAGCTTCATGCTAGAATATCAACCCTGGACACTAAGTGGATAAAGGCCTATTGCACTGTCCCACACAATCACATTTCTTTCTGTCTTAAGAAAGAAAAGTAGCAGTATTACATTTAAGCGCATTTTCCCTGTTTGAAGAATACTGGTTGCTGGTGCGGGGGCTGCAAGTGTGAAAGCTTATACTGTAATAATCTTGTAACAGCCAACTCATTCACTCAGAGCAGCAACCTGGCCATGAGTTTTAATCTACCCCGTCCCCATCAGCATCCAAGGCCAGGCTGGATGGGGCTTGGAGCAACCTGATCTAGTGGAAGGTGTCCCTGACCATGGCAGGGGGTGGAACTGGATGAGCTTCAAGGTCCCTGCCAACCCACTCCATGACCCTGTGATTTTTTGCCACTAAACCCCTGCCTTTGGTCCAAATGAGAAGGAGATGGCTGTGCCGGACAGCAACGAGCCATTCTGCAGACACCTCTCCTTCCCCCAAGCCTTAGGGCCATGATGCTGAAGCAAGGAGCACAGTTCCCCCAGGGCCTGCCTGCAAAGCCTCCCTCTTTTCTTCCTTCCCCTTTAAATACAGTTTGCATTCACAAGCTCCAACCACTCCCCAGCCTTCCACTCTGAGGCAATACCAGCAGACACAAATCCACAGCCACGAAGCTACCCAGCAGCTCACAGCCAGGCTCTGAGGCGAAGCAGACCAGAGGGCAGGGACCATCAAGTGTCCCTGGTGTCACACACACGCTGTGCTGGCCCCGAGAGCCGATGGCACAGAGCACCAGAGCACCAGCTCATGTCCAAAGCTATTTTTAGTTTTACAACTGCTTTGGAGGGTTTATTTTGGGTGGTTTTTTTCTGTACTTCCCTGCTGTTTCATGTATTGGGAACAATATGATACCTGGGACTTGATTAGTTCGGGTGGCTGGGCATGAAGCAGGGGTTGTTCCTTTTGTTACTTCCATGGGGTGTATCACCAGGGTTAATGAGTAGTAGATAAGGCAGAAAGGGCTTTTGGATGGACTATTTGCCCATCGGAGCACACCTCTGGATTGTAGCCCCACCAGATGTAATCATTCATTTCCTCCTAATCCAAACAGTACATGTGCCTTTGCCTATGATGCCTCATTATTTTTCAGCTGTTTACTTCGGATGGATTTGCTCCCAAGGGCTTGTTTTCAGCACTGCAGTACTATGGCAATAGCATTTGCTGAAGGGGGTATTCCCCCCCAGATCATCACCAAGCGCTATCTAAATCAGATACCCACAGACTGCACCAGCACATGTGTCCCACCGGCTGTGCAGCCGCACTTCACACCCTCAGAGCTAACAGAATCGGCTCAGATTCTGCCCAGAGAGGGCAAATAACCCCAACTAAATAAGGCTGTTGGGCAGAAAGGGGATGCAGATGCCTGGCAAGAAGGACAGAGCACCAACATCGGACCAACCGGTGGAGCTGGATGGGAAAACCTCAGTGGCTTCGGAAATAACAACACTCCTGCCACAGGAGCGAGGCTGTGACCGGTTTCCCCCCAAAAGCCACACTTCTAAGTGGCATTATATTGTTCTGTGCAACTGTCACCGCCAAACCACAGCACACAGAGCATCCCGAAAGGATGCACCCCTCACAAAGAGGGAGGAATGACTTCCACCCGCAGGTCTGGTGTTTCCTGGTGGATTTGCAGCTGTAAGTGATGCTCCGCTTCACATGGCAGCAACACAGTTCTGCCCGAGCAGAGCAGCTGCAAAGTCTACACCGCTGCTCTGTTTAAAAACGCTGCACTGAATTCATTGGGAAAACAAACAGAAATCAATGCTTCAATCCAAACTGTCCTGTTAAATCACACTAACACGCAGCTTCCTATCGTGAGCAAATATTTAGGCAGTTCCAGCTGAAGCTGGAGAAGGACTCAGGTAGCCAGGACATGACAAACATGAAGGATGGCTCCAGATGAATATGTTAGCAGGGTATTTCTGTTAAAGCCATCAGTAGCGTGCTGGCATTTAAATCACATTAAGATTTCAAACGCATCCGTCTATCACCCAGCTCGTGTCATGCTCCCTCTCACAACTATAAGGGCTGAAACCCTTAAAACAAGCCCCTAGAACACAACCCTGCAACCGCAGCACCAAAGATCACCCCGAGCCCAGCAGGCTGGAGCAAAAGCTCCCTAATTGTGGGAAACTGATGGACAGATCAATTAACCAGGCGAGCAAAAAGCCTTTTGCTTCGAGGTGCCGGCAATGGTGACTTCAGATGGAAAGCGAGCACCAGGGGCAGCTGTATTCTTCACAACAAAACCAGAACCTCTTTCAGATAAGCACTCGTGGAAAGAGAAAGAGGAAAGGGAAGGGGGGGGGGAGGAGGTAAGAAATAAAAGAGGAGGCAAACAGAACCGATCCCAAACGCTGTCATTCAAGTGATGGGGGCTGCTGTTAGGGAAGCGAGGGGGTCCCCGTGCCCGGTGTGAGCATCCCTGTGCCGGTGGCTGCTCTCAGCAGTAGCCCAGGGAGCACTCGCCAGTCTGCTGAGATCTGCCCAGTCACATGTGCTGGCTCCTGCGCCTTGGAGAAGCAGCTGGAAAAGAGGGAGCCAGCGGAGCTGCCTCCATGAGGAGCCACGGCTACACAAAAGGAGAGAAGGAAACGAGCTCTGGGCCACGGGAGCTACCGACAGGAACAGCGGCATGTCCAGAGCCACGGGGAACACACGGCAAGCGCGGCCCGGGGAGGGCGGAACACCGCGGAGATCCCAACTCCTCCGCCGTGCCCCGCTCGATGCCACCTGCGCGCCCGGCGCATCGCGACACCTCACGGGACATCGCACGACTCGCCCGCTCCGTTAACGGCCGCCCAGGCCAGGGTCGTGTGTCCCGTCCCGTCCCACACACACACACACACACACACACCCCCGCAACCCTCCTCGCACCGCCCGCCCCGGGCAAACTTCTCGCTGGGCAGAGCCGGTTCCGCCGTCGGCCGCCGCCCCGGAGCCCCGGCAGGGAGCGAGCGGCGAGAGCGGCCCCGCCAGCCCACGGGAATCGCCTCCGACGCCGCGACAAACCCTTCCCGTCCCCGCTGCGCGGCCCCCCGGGGCGAGAGCGCACACACACCCCCCCACACACACCCCGCAGCGCACAGACCCGAGCCCGCACCGGCCCCCCGCAACTTCCCCGGCCCGGAGGCCCGGCCCCCGCCCCGCCGCCTTTGTCCTGCCGAGCCGCCGGGGCTCGCCCCGCGGGAGGACCCGCGGCGAAGGAGCCGAGGGACGGGGCTCGGGTGGGCCCGGGCCGGGCTCGGCCTCACGCCGCCGGGACCCGGCAAGTTAACGGCCGCCGCGCGCGCCCAACCGCCGCCCGCACCTGAGGGGGCCCGGCCCGGCCCGGCCCCACCTGCCGCCGAGGCCGCTTCCCCGCGGGGCGCCGCCGCCGGGAGCCCTCCCGGGGCTCCGGAGCCTTCACCCGCGGGCGAGGAGAAAAGTTCCCGGCCTCCCCCCCTCCTCCGCCGGGGCGGCACCTGCTCCCGGCCGCCGGAGCCACGGCGGGCGCAGGGTCCGAGGCGGCGCCGCGGGCTGCTCAGGGCCGGTGTGCGCGGCCGCGTGGGGACTCACCGGGGCTCGCTGCCGTGCCGCGGGGCTGCCGCAGGCCCCGGCTCGGGAGAGATCCAGCGACGGGAGCGCTGCCGGGGCGCCCGAGTCCCGGGCTCCACGCTGCTGCGTCAGCGCCGCCTCCTCCTCCGCCTCTCCGGCTGCGGGATGGGGATGAGGCGCCGCCGCCGCCGCCGCCCGCCCTCGCCGCAGGGCGTCGCGATCCGGCGCGGCCCGGGCGGGCGGCGCGCAGAGGCCGGGGCGGCGGAGGGGGGGGGGGAGCGGGCGGGCGCCGGGGCCGCAGCCGGAGGGGACGGGGAGGGGGGGAGGCGCCGCTCGCCGCCGCCGCGAAGTCCCCGCAAGCCGCTCGCCCCTCCGGCCTCCTTCCTACTTCCTCGTCCGAAGCCAATCGCCGCCCGCCGCTCCGCCGCTCGCTCCGCCGCCGCGGCCAATCGAGAGCGCTCCTGCTCGCCGCCACCGGCCAATCACCGCGCCTGGCCCCGCCCCTCACCCCCCCCTCCACCGCCCCGCTGCCCCCCCCCCCACCTCCCGGTGCCGCCCCCCCCCCCCTCCCCCGGCTCCGGTTCCCCCCCAGTCCCCGGTACCGCGGCCGGGCCGGGGGGGGGGGGGCACCGCCGAACCCCCGACCCGCGCGGGCTCCTCCGCGGGAGGCGCGCCCCGTTCCCGCCCGGCAGCGCCGCCCCGGCCGTTCCCCAGCGGCCCCCGAGCCCCCTCGGCACCCCGGAGCCGGCACCGGCCGCCCCCTGCCCGGTCACCGGCGGCCTGCGCGGGCAGGAGCCGCGTCCCCGCGGGGATCCCGGCGGGGTCCCCGCAACCGCGTCCTTGTGCCCGGGGGCTCTGGGGCGGTGCAGCCCCGGGCTCGGTGCGGGAGCTGCCGGGGAGGAGGGAGGGAGGGAAGACACGGGGGCTCCGGGGCCGTCGTTCCACAGGCACCGGTGTAGGTGAAGGTCGGGGCCCCGCTGGGTAGGTGCTTCCCTCCGAGCGGCCCCGGAGCCCCCATCGGTGCAACGCCAGCGGGGGAAAAGGCCAATGGGGGGTAACCCGGTGCCCCAGCCCGTCCCCGTGTAGCCCGTCCCTGCTGCACCACGTTGTGTCCTCACCAGACGTGGTCTTCATGGGCTCCACCAACAGGCCTGAGGCACAGCAGTGATTTCTTCATCCCAGCCAGGACAGTGCCCGGAACTCTCCATGTTCTCCTGAAAACCGGGTTTAAACACCCGAAGGAGAGAGCTCCAACAAGCCCTGGCCGTTATTTGACCAGTGATGGGGTGGCTTTGGCAGGACCACAGTCCCCTACTGCTGAAGTTCCTCCCTTAGCTGCGGAACGGGCGGTTTTTGTTGTCCTATTTCTTTTAAAGCTAGGAAACTTCTGGAAGCGGGACACCAGCACATGGGACAAGCAACCCAAAGTGCACCAGGAGAGAAAACTGCACACACAAGGCATTAAACTCCCTCAGGTCCCGAGGGTCTGCTTGAAATACAGCTAAACTGCAGGAGCCCCACTAAAATACTGCCTTGTACTTGTGGTCTGCAAGGATCCCACAAGCAGGAGCAAGATCAGAAGATCAGTCCCTGCTGTGATCTTTGCAGGACCCCGATGCTATACAGGGGAAGATCGAGGGGAAACTCAGTTGCTTGGAGGCACCAGCTCCAACAGCGCGTGGTTTCCTTTCTATCTGGAGCTTGAAGCTGAAGTTTCTCCTCCTTCCTCAGTGGAGAGGAGGAGGGCCGCTCTCTACCAGTATTTGCCAGCTCCAAGGAGCAGCAGCTCCATCACGGTGACCGAGTAACCCCATGGACAACACGGGCTTGGCAGTGCTGACTGCCAGTAGGGAAGCACGTGTAGGAAAGGGATCGGTGATTTTCACCTGATGTGAGTGTGAGCTCACCAAGTGTGAGCTGGGAGGATGAACTGTGCTCCCATCGTGTTTCTGGAGCGACCTAGGCAATGAGGAGGCCCAGCAAGAGGGTGAGAGCTTGGCCCAGGAGTCCCCAGCAGCGAGTGCTGCATCCGAGTGTGACATCCAAGTAAGCCTAAAACAAGCACCGGTCACTGGGGCTGCAGCAAAAGGAACGGAGCTAAAGTGAATAACCCGAACAGCTACAACCCTGGAAGCCCACAAGGCTTCTGCACCTCCCCATCATCACAGAGCCCCTGGTTTAGTGTGCTCGGAAGATAACCTGTGTTTGTATGGGCCTGAGCGACGAGCTTTCCCGGCGGATCAGGCAGCATTCAAGTGGGAAAGCGCTCAGGCAACGGGGTGTTTGTGAAACCGCCCCAGATCATGATCAGATGAGCAGTTACCAAACACGCCATGGACACAGCAGAACATGAGAGGGGAAAGCAGCTGGGACGTGGAGTTGAGGGGCTTGGGGACCTCGATCCCGGGCGTCGGCTGCTGGAGTGGTTTGTAAAGCCCTCCCTGCTCAGCAGTTTGTGGTGTGGGCTGACAGGGTCGGTGTCAAACACCTCCCTCACACACACACACACACACACACACACACACGAGCCCTGGCCCTTCAGGAAGAAACAGCACGCAAATGAACCCCACATCTATAGACTCACAGAATGCTTTGGGTTGGAAAGGCCCTTCAGATCACCCAGATCCAGCCCCCTGCCGTGGGCAGGGACGCCTCACAGCAGTCCCTTGGTAGACCCCAACCTGCTCCTGCTGCTGTGCCTGATCCGCGTTAGGCTCAGCCAAAGCCGCACTGCAACATCAGCAATGAGCCTACAGCTTCACAGCATTCGGGACAAACTGATGCCAAAGGTTAGCACAGATATCAGACATTTAACAGCTGCCCGCAGCGGTGGAGGTGAGGCCACTTTCCCTGTTCCGGCTGTTTGGAACAGGAGAGCACTGGAGCACGGGCAGGTTGAGGATGGAGCACTGTGTGCTCTAGAGCTGCACAAGAGTGGGAAGCACACCACTTTCGAGTGAAAAAAGCTCCCTCTCCTTTATAGAAACTGATTTCTTCTGAAGTGGGGTCTTTCCTCGTCCCTTTCTGCAGGGGTGAGGGGAAAACCCCTGATGCTGACTGCTGATGACAGCGCAGCGTGGCTGGTGTCTGCTGTTCCTCACCCTGTCAGTGCAGAGGCACAGGCCAGACATGGGGCTGGATTTTCCTTCCTCATTAGCCAGGAAGCCCAAACCACTGAAGCCCCAAAACAGCATCTTCCCACCCCGACTCCTGGCCTGGGTTTGGGGAAGGGAACAGCACCCGGGGCTGTTCTGCTGCCTGAGCAGCCACCGCTCCCCATCGCATCCCTGGGCTACAGCAGTGACTTGCTGAGGTTGTCCCGCTTGGCACAAGAGGTTGCAGAGCCCCACAGCCACAGGAGGAGCTGGAGCAGCTCCAGCGAGGGCCAGGCAGCAGCAGAGATTCAGGGCCCAGTTCTGTCCCATTGCACCCCTCATCTCCACGGGTGGGAGACACAAATGGCTGAGCCGGGGAGGGAAAAGAGAATTTCACCACTAAGATAAAAGGATGTCACCACTAAGCACAGGGATGCCAGGGAAAAGGATCTCTGCTTTTCCTGGCTCTTGGTTTCAGGAGTAAAACCTCAATTTGGCCCACGGGAGAGAAAGGGAAGATCCCCAGCACCCCCCTGCTCACTGCAGGTCAGCAACCCCGGCTGGGAGAAGGGGTGTTTGCACTGTGCACCCCCAGAGCAACACCCAGAGCTCCTCCCGCGGGCAGGAACGGTGGGGGCGAGCTCAAACAGTCACAGAAAAGTGGAAGAAGAGGAAGGAATTCCCCCCCGGAACGCTGCGAGGACAGAAAGGGACCTCGAGCTGCGGGGTCTGTGCTCGCAGGCTGCCCGCCCCTGTTGTAGCACAAGGGGGGAGGCACTGCCCGCCTGGTAACGCAGCCCCGAGAGCCTCCCGCACCCCCGCAGCACCCATGGAGGGCTCCCATCCCATAGGCAGCCTGCAAGCAGGCACGGGAGCCTTAGCGACAGGCTCAATCCGAGCAAGCAGCTAGCGGCAGCCTGGAGGAGCCTGCGCTGACCGGGTCCTTGCTCGGGCCTCGGGAAAACACTTGGCTTAAGGGAAGGGCACGGTGCACCTGCAAGGGGGAGGATCGCCCGCTCCCACCTTCCCAAACAGCCCCCAGGTGGGGTTAAACCCATCCCGTCTGCTGAGGGTCCCGGAGCTGGGTTAAGAGCCACAGAACCCCAGCCTGGTTTGGGTTGGGAGGGAGCTTAAAGCTCCTCCAGCTCCAACCCCTGCCACGGGCAGGGACAACTTCCACTGGAGCAGCTTGCTCCAAGCCCCTGTGTCCAACCTGGCCTTGAGCACTGCCAGGGATGGGGCAGCCACAGCTTCTCTGGGCACCCTGTGCCAGCGCCTCAGCACCCTCCCAGGGAAGAGCTTCTGCCTAAGAGCTCATCTCAGTCTCCCCTCGGGCAGGTTCAAGCCATTCCCCTTGGCCTGTCCCTACATCCCTTGTCCCAAGCCCCTCTCCAGCTTTCCTGCAGCCCCTTCAGGCACTGGAGCTGCTCTCAGGTCTCCCCTTCAGGAGCCTTCTCTTGTCCAGGCTGCCCCAGCCCAGCTCTCTCAGCCTGGCTCCAGAGCAGAGCTGCTCCAGCCCTTGCAGCATCCCCATGGCCTCGCTCCAGCAGCTCCGTGTCCCTTCTTTACCCCAGCCCATCAGCTGCATCCCTGTGTTCTCCACCTTTTCCAGGCACCTCCCGAACTGGGGAAACATCCCCAAATCCCAATCAGCTGAGTTATCCCTTCCCACCCCATGTCTCAGCATATAAAGTGCTGGTGCTGCACTGGCTCCGGTGGCACGAGAGATGGGTTTTAGTGGTCCCTCCTTTTCTTCCCTGCTCCTGTAAATACGAAAGGCCAAATGAATCCCTGGTGGAGCTCTATTGACTGACTTGGAATTATATTACACCAAAAGAGCAAATTGGCTGTCAGTATTTAGGGACGCAGCTTCCCAGCTGTGGTTACACAGGCAGCTTCCTTTGAGGTTTCTGCTTAAACATCAGCTTTTGCTCATTCTTAGTTGAGTGAAATACTCCCTTTTTCCACCGAAAGAAGCCAGGAGGGATTTGGGGTAGATGAGGGGGGTCTGCCAAGCCCGGAGGTTTCATCCCTAGCTCATTACCTGCCTGGAAAATGGCAAAGGAAAAGCGCTGTGCGTGTGTCTCCGGGAATCATCTGCAGTTTTCAGCTTGGTTACTGCTAGGAGGGTTTCATTTATGTCTGATTTCAGTCGTAGTTGACGCTGCCTCTGTCAGCTCCGGTCGTCCACTGAGCAGCGGTGCCAGGGAAGCCCAGCCCATGTGCACTGCAGAAGGAAGGGGACTGCTGTTATGCTTCTGTTTAACCCTTCATCTCAACACTTTCAAGTGCCTTAGTGAGGAATACATAAGCACCAGTAGCCAAATCCGTTGATGGAGGGTAAAAATGAAGGGGCAAGGAGTTATCCTGGAGACGAGCTTGGTGGGGACCAGGAAATGAGACCTGGATTAAAGGCAAGCAGAACATCACGGGAGGAAGAGTTCAAGCCATGCCCAAGCGTTATCACGGACAGAGGTGGATGTAGGTGCGTGCTTGGCTGTATTGCTAAATACGGATTAAAGCCACGGATGCTGCTTTATGAGCTGGGTCGTGGCAGCGCTAGTGAAAAATTCCTCTGCAGGGGAGGAATCCAATGTTCTGCCTCACGTTCCCTAGGTAGCCGTTGCTTTATGAAGTGTGATTCACAAAACCAGGGAGGCTGGAGGAATGGGAACACGAAACACATGTCCCAGGAAGACACGATGGGAAAGCAAGCAGTGATTGTAGGACCATCTGTGGCCGGCGCTGCTGCGGGATGGGGCTGCAGCACCACTCGCCCCCCGCTCGGATGCTGGGCTCGGGGCAGAACATTCCCTTGGATCAGGCAGTGGGAACAAACCCATCGCTGTGTTTATGACTTCAAACAGGGGCTTTTTTTCCTTGCACAGAGCTAATACAGGAAACCCAGGGAGAAATCCCGGAGGCACCAGCCCGGCCAATCCGTGTTTCCATAGGAAACAGCTGCAGCTCCAGTAGAAACTTCAGCCCCTTCTCTCCGTGTCCCTGAGGTGGGACGGGAGCTCCTGCCAGCACACGGATGTGACAGGGACATTCCTCAGGTCCCTGCCCATGGCAGAGGGGACCGCATCTGCTCCTCCACGCTCCGGTAGCTGCATGAAGACAACCTGCTTTGGTGGCAGGGAGGGACAAGAGGCATGGGGAGCAGTGTGGCAGCAGTCAAAGGGGTGATGCTCCCCCTCTGCTCTACCCTGGTGGGACCACAGCTGGAGCACTGTGTCCAGTGCTGGGCTCGTCAGCACAGGAAAGACAAGGAGGGGGTCCAGGGGAGGCCACGAGGATGCTGAAGGGGCTGGAGCATCCCCCTGATGAGGAGAGATTGCAGGAGCTGGGCCTGGCTGGGCTGGGGAAGAGCAGCCTGAGAGGGGTTCATCCATCAGCAGATCAAGAGCCCAAAGGTGGGTGCTGGCAGGATGGTGCCAGGCTCTTCTCAGACAGGATGAGGAGCCACGGCCATAAACTAAACCACGACAAGTTTCACCTCCACGTGCGGAACTGCTTCTTTCCACTGAGGCTGCCTGGGGCGGGTTGTGGAGTCTCCCTCTCTGGAGCCACCCCAAACCCACCCTGGACACGTTCCTGGGTGCCCTGCTCTGGGGGCTGGACTGGGTGACCTGAGGTCTGTGATGTCCCCCGTGATGGCCTGGGGAAAAGCCGGGAGGCTTCGGGGTGGCAGCCCTGCAGCGGCTCCCCTGCAGCCCGCCTGCGGCAGCACTGGCTCCCCAGGCTGCCCACAGACAGGACCGTGGTGCTCTGCTCCCCCGAGGGGATGCGCAGGCAGCGGAGTACCCGCGGGCGGTGCTGACGCTGCTGCCTTGGCCAGGATCGACCTTCGGGTAGGGGAGAGGGAGCCTGGGGGCAGAGGAGGAGGAGGGCAAGGGGCTGGGCTGGGGTTGGAGCTCCTGCTGCTCCTCGCACCAGCTCCAGCACCGCCATTCCCTGACTAAGGAGCTGTTATTGCCTCAATGAGGCTTTTGGGGCTTGTTCTCTACAAATCGCCCATGGAAGCGTTGCTGCCTCCTCGAGCTGAACATAAGGAATAGAAGCAACCCTCGGGGCTGAAAACATCAGATCACCTCTGAGTGGGACTCTGGGTGGGCCTCACAGTGCTGAGCATCACTGGGAGTGTGGGGGCAAGAGGAGAATGAAGCAACCAGCAGTGACTGTTCCTTTTCACATAGAAGAATGACTACAACAGCAAATGGTCACAGCTCTGAGCCAGACCTTTGGGATTTGGAGACTTGATGGGTGCTGCAGGGGTCTAAACAAACCTGGGGTGGGCGACCCTTTCCATCCAAAGCCCAGTGCATGGGTAGCTGGATGCAGGTGAACACTGGCTTCAATGGGCTGTGGGATTGCTCCAGCATTGCCCCAATGGGCTGCGTCTGGAGACCCCGAGGGACCGTGGGCTGGGAAAACCCACCCAAGCCGCCTCCAGAGACGGGCACACGAAGCCGCTGGTGCCGATGTGCGCACGGACGGAGACCCCTTGGATGTGGCTGCTCCCCGCTCCCAGACGCAGGCCGGGGGGTGTCTACCGGCGGCTGCTGTTTAAGCCGCGGCCCGAGGATGGACCCAGGGGCTCCCCCTCGAACCCAAGCGGAGGATTCCTGAGAAGAAACTTTCCTTGTCCGCTATTTGGAGGTGTCGGGAACCCCCCCGGCCCCGCCGCCGCCCCGCTCCCGGGCCGCAGATCGCCGCCCCCCCCACCCCGGATCCGGTTCCGCCCCTTCCCCTCTTTGTCCCCGCTCTCCCCGCCCTGATCCCCGACACCTCCCCCGGGCCGGGCCCTCCCCGGCGGCTGCCCCGGGACCCGGCGCCCCGGCCGCCCCCGAGCATCCGAACCCCAACTCCCCGAGCATCCGATCCCCGCGAGCATCATCCCCCCGTCCCTCCAAGCATCCCATCCCCGCCCCGAGCATCCGACCCCCTAACATCCGAGCATCATCCCCCCGTCCCTCCAAGCATCCCATCCCCGCCCCGAGCATCCGACCCCCTAACATCCGAGCATCATCCCCCCGTCCACCCGAGGGTCTGACCTCCCAACCATCTGACCCCCGAGTATCATTCCCCAGACCCCCCGAGCGTCTGAACCCCAAGCATCATCCTGCTGTCCCTCCGAGCATCCGACCCCGACCTCACGACTTCCAAGCATCCCCGGCATCCAACCCCCTGAAGAGCCCCGCCTTGACCATTGTGCCCCCGAGCATCCTTCCCTTATCCCCCGCTGCCCCGTCGGTCCCCGGGGACCTCTCCTCGCCCCCCGGTCTGTGTGTGGCACAGCCCTGCTCCGTGCAGCCGTGATGCCCCCACTGAAAGGGGAGGGGGTAAGGAAAGGGGTGACCCAGTTTGGGTGGAGGAGAGCAGGGAGCCTTTGCTGGGCAGGTTGAATTCACCTCCGGGGCTGGGGTTTGGTTTATTTACAACTGTTATACATGCACACACACCTGAAATTGTGGATATGTAATATTAATGGAATCTATCTATCTATCATCTATCCGTCCGTCCATCCATCCATCCATCCGTCCGTCCATCCATCCATCCATCCATCCATCCATCCATCCATCCATCCATCATATCTATCTATCTACCTATCTACCTATCTATCTATCTATCTATCTATCTATCTATCTATCTATCTATCTATCTATCTATCTATCTATCTATCTATCTATCTACCTACCTACCTACCTACCTACCTACCTACCTACCTACCTACCTATCTATCTATATCTCTTTCTGCATGGCACTCCTATCAGCTCAGCTCAGGGACCCAAAGTGAACCTGGACCCATTTCAGATTTTGGCGGAGTAATGCAAGCGATGGAGCCAGCCCCGTCCCGGAGCCGCAGTGGCTTCATGGTGAGCAGCTCGTGTGCAGGGCGAAGACACCCAGTGACAGAGTTCACCAGGGAAACAGAATCGGTGGCCCTGCATGCACGTGGTGAAGAGATGTACCACGTTTCCAAAGGCCCCAGCGCAAGAGGGATGTGGAGCTGCTCGAGCAAATCCAGAGGAGGCCACAGAGATGCTCTGAGAGCATCCTCGGGCCACTCCCCGGTCAGTTCAGAACACCAGCCTGTGCTCTATCAATCACATTTATGTTCTTGAGAATAAAAACCACGCCGTAAAGTGAAAATAAACCATACATGAAGAATGTGCAGGTTAAATATGGAGTGTGTGTGACCGAAGTGGTATTTTCCAGAGAATCCCAGCCTGGTTTGGGTTGGGAGGGACCTGAAAGCTCCTCCAGCTCCAACCCCTGCCACGGGCAGGGACCCCTTCCACTGGAGCAGCTTGCTCCAAGCCCGTGTCCAACCTGGCCTTGAGCACTGCCAGGGATGGGGCAGCCACAGCTTCTCTGGGCACCCTGTGCCAGCGCCTCAGCACCCTCACAGGGAAGAGCTTCTGCCTAAGAGCTCAGCTCAGTCTCCCCTCGGGCAGGTTCAAGCCATTCCCCTTGGCCTGGCCCTCCAGGCCCTTGTCCCAGGCCCCTCTCCAGCTTTCCTGCAGCCCCTTTAGGCACGGGATTTCCAGTTCAATTCCCTTTTCTCTCCTTTCTCTTGGTTCAAACCTGATGTAATTCCAGCAGGGATGAGCACTGAGTGCTCAGCAGGTGTCCCTTGGAAAAGCACTGGGCTCCTCTTCAATTTCCCTTCCCATATCTTTCCTCATTGTTGCTTCATTACAATGAGAAAAAAGGAAAGAGATAAAGAGGGAATCCACCATTTCCTCCCAGGCTTTGGGACACACATCAGCTTCGGGATCGGGTTTGATCCAATGGGGAAAGAAAACCCACTGCAGCTTTACTGCCTGGGAAGGAGCCTCTGCCTCAGAGAGCCCCCAGACCAGCTCCCATCTTCCCACCAGCCTCAGGCCCATGCCCATGAGGAGTTTCCCACCGTGGCTCTGGTCACTTCTCCCTTCTTCTCCTCTTTTCCCAGCCCCGGTTTGTCCCTGTGATGGTGCTGAGCAGCAAATGGCACTAAACAGCTCCTCATGCTCAGTGCGCTGCAAGCAGCAGAGCCGGGATTGCTGCTCATCCACCAGCCTCCTGTTCCTTGGGGAACATTGGACTGTGAGGGAGCCACGGGAAGAGCTCAGCTCCCTGCAAATAACCTGAGAAACCAGAGCAGTGACTTCAGCAAAGGTGGAGGAGCTGCCGTGAGCCTGCTGGAGGTGCTGCCATGGCGCAGCTGGGCAAAAAGGGGGTTCTGGGGGGGGTAATGGAAAGCTGGGGAGGAACAGGGCTGGTTTGTGCTGGGATTCAGTCAGGGAAGAAGCGAGAGGGATGAGCTGAGCAGGTTTTCACAGCTTAAGGCAGCATGTGGGATGATGTGGTGTGGGATGATGGGGATGCGGGATGATGGGGATGTGGGATGATGGGGATGTGAAATGATGGCGATGAGGAACGATGGGGATGCAGGATGATGGGAGTATGGGATAATGGGGATGTGGGATGATGGGAGTATGGGATGATGGGGATGTGGGATGATGGGAGTATGGGATGATGGGGATGTGGGATGATGGGAGTATGGGATGATGGGGATGTGGGATGATGGGAGTACGGGATGATGGGGATGCGGGATGATGGGGTGTTGCTGCAGAGGAAGATGTGGGTCCTTCTGCGGGCACTGCCCCATGGCTGAGCTGGGTCAGAGGCTTAAACCAACGTCCTGGCTGCTGTAGCCCTTGCAGAAGTAGTTATCAACCCCAGCATCCTCATTAGATACTCACATGAGGACTTGTACTCCACCAGGTGAAGTATTCCCACCGTGGGAAGATTTCTGCCTTTTGGAGGCAGGAATGTACCCAGAGAAAAGGGAACTTGGATGCATTGGGGCAGTTTTCTGTTGAACTCTTGGCTGGCAAATGGAGCTGAGTGCGCCTTGGGCAGTGAGCACAAGCTCTGAGCCACCAGGGTGATTAATGACCAACGACATTCATCTAAAGAGGGGGTTCATTCCCTTGACACCAAGATAAAGAAGGTGTGACCTCAGCCATCGACATGGGCTTGGTGCCAGAGCCTGTGGGGAGCAGTGTCTCATCAGACCCTGGGTATTAATGATTGCTCTTGGCCTCAAATCTGACAACTTACTTATTCCTCGGAAGTATCAATGAAATCCCAGCTTCTGCCCCTTGCTTCTGTCCCAGCCCCGCATCCATACTGGAGGAATGAGGGGGTCACTTGTGTTTCTCTGATCTGAGTCTCCATCCTTTCACCACCCCCTGCATCCTTTCACCACCTCCTGCATCCTTTCACCACCTCCTGCATCCTTTCACCACCCCCTGCATCCTTTCACCACCTCCTGCATCACCAGCTCATTGCTGCGCTTTAACTGCCTGGTCATAGGGACCACCCCGTCCCAGCACATGGGCTGTCTGGGTTTGTCCATGGGGAAGGGCTGGTGGAGCCCCTGTGTTGGTCCTCTATGGGAGGAGACCCACCTTGAATCCTCTGCCTGGGGCAAAGCGGTCCTTGCACGGGAGCACTCGAGGTGTGAGCTGGGTCAATTGGCTTGACTGCAGTGGTCAGGAAGTCGTGCCAGAGGCTGGGGTGGGTGGGCAAAGAGCTCAAACCCCACCCCAGAGGGTTCCCACACAGCATGGAAACCAAGCCAGCAGTGACCGAGCTGAAACAATCGTTGTTTGGACAGAGCCTTGTAGCAAAAGCCCTTTATTTTGCTATTAGCGTTCATTATTCCCAGCAGTGTTACCCTGCGTGTTTGAGCTGGGATCTGCCTAATCCCGTAAAGCCCGGCTTCTCCTCGTGCCAGAGCCGGGAACAGGCTCAGAATGCCCCTGCTGCAGCCTCCCAGGCTGTTGCTATGGGAATGATGCCGCGGCCGCGATCAGCGGAGCCGCTCCTGCCCGCACAGGTGGGAGAAGATGCTTCCCAAAGGGTAGGCTGCCCTGGGTTGAACACTGGCAGCCAGGGAAGTTACACCTCCCTCCACCGCAGTGAGGGCGCCAGATGTGGTTTCTGGCTCGGAACGGCAGCCCCGAGCCAGCCCGGCTCAGCTGGAGGTACCCAAAGGTGCTGAGATTTGTCCCTTGGGGTCCGCCGGTACCTGCAGTTCTCTGGGCTTGCCCCATCTGCAGCCTTCCCACTGCTCCCATCCCAGGGTACCAGACCCCCCCTCACCTGTGCTGGGTGCACCCCCAGAGCGTGAGCAGCAGCACAGGGAGGGGATCCTGCCCCTCTGCCCCGTGAAGGGGAGACCCCCCCTGCATCCTGATCCTGCTCTGGGGCAGCAGCACCAGGGGGATGCGGAGCTGTGGGGTTTGTTCAGGCCTGGGGACAGGAAACTGGTTAAAACCAAGTTACAAGCAAAGCAAATCACGTCCGTGTCCGGGCTGTGAGCTCCCGCCTGGGTTCTGTACCCTGGGAGAAGCGCCTGTAAGATCCCCCCTTTTCCATGGGGATCCCCTCTCCCTGTTGGCTGGGAGAGGATCCCAACGTTGGGAGAGATGCTTCCAGCTGTGCTGTGTGGTGGGGACCAGGTCTGGCCCAAAGCGCCCGATTCCCTTCCCAAAAGTCAGAGCATGTCCCCCTTTGGGGCTTCTTGCTCACCCTCTCAGCAGCATCCTCGTCAAAGAGGGAAATCCGGGAGGTTTGATGGGATCTCCTCTTGACAGACACTCGCTGCCTGCTTCTTATCATCTTGTTATCTTCCAGGGGCTTAAAGAGGTTTAAATCCCCCCCCCCCCCCCGTACTCCTGCAGCTTTCCCAGCATCAAAGCACAGCTGAGTGCTTTAATCCCCTTGGTCTTCCTCTTGACATTTGGGAAGAGGAAGAGGAGCGGATCTGCCCTCCTTCCCGTCGCCGCCGCGGGTTGGGATGCCCGATGGGTCAGGAATCCCTGGATCCTGGAGCTCTTCAGCATCAAGAGCACCGGACCCAGAAGCAAGGTGTGCGAAGCTCCAAATCCCCTCTAACCTCCCCTTCCTTTCCCTCCCTCTCTCCTCCATCCTGGCAGCGGGAAGCGGGGTTAAGAGAGGAAAGGGGAATTGCCAAAGCAAATATTTTCTTTCCAAAGCTCTCTCCATTAGCTATAAACACAGGGAACCGCTGTGAGGAATGGATGTGGTTCCGGGAGGGGGGGGGTTGCAGCTCTGTGCTGTGGGCAGGAATGGGGGGGACACAGAGATTTGGTTTTACGGTAAGTTAAAAGAAAGCCAGAAGCTATGGACCAGGTCAGACCCCCTTGACTTTTGGCCAAGCAAGAGCAGTACCAGCCCCAGCACAGAGCATCCCCACAGCCTCTGTTGACAGGTCTGTCCTGGAGAGGGAAACGCAGGCA